ATGGGTGCTAATGTCTTAGAAATGGGTCTTAATGTCTATGAAAATCAATCCACCAAGTCTGTTGCAGAACCCAGACAATTAACTTTAGCTTAATAGGAGAAATGAGTTCACACAAATCTACTGCACAGCCCAGATGGCCTGAACTTTGATGGAAAAGGGCAAAAACCCAGACATCCTGACCTTCCCAACTTTAGGGGAGAAAATGGCAATGCATGTTTTTGGGGGAATATGTGGTAGGTGGTTTGGGAAGGCTGTATCTTCCTAGGACCTTATCAGTGTGGAAAGGAAGAGGACAACACATGGTGGGAGTTTAGGATAAAAGGCGGCTGCATCCTCCAAAACCTGAAGAGAGACCCCACGGGGGGAATGGCCTAGTGGACTCTCTCCCTTCATTAGAATAAAGTTGCAGGACTCCTCTGCCTCCTTTATGGACACTGGCATTTCACAGCATAATTTTTCTGCAAGAAACTTTAAGAGAATAGGTTTAGATTAGATATTAGGAACAAATCCTTCACTGTGATGGTGCTGAGGCACTGAAACAGGTTGCCCAGAAAAGCTGTGGATGCCCCATCCCTGGCAGTGCTCAAGGCCAGTATGGATGTGGCTTTGAGCAACTTGGTCTAGTGAAGAGTGTCCCTTACACCAATTAATTACAGTGACCTTCTCCTACTTAAAAAAAACCCCACTCTTACATGCTATCAATGAAGAGAAGAGAAATTCAAAAAAACCAAAAGAATCATTTAACACAAGAGGCAGACAATGCCATGAGACACAACTGCCATGTAACATGCAATACCTTTAACTACTGTCATCTCTTCATAGATCAAGGAAGATGTAGTTGCTAATTTTATTTCCTATTCACTTAGCAATGCTGTTCAAAATGAATGAATCAGCTCCTTGAAACTCAACAGCAAATATTTGTCACCAGTGAGTGTTGTGAGACCTTGTACAAACATATCAATAAGTTTTCCTGAGTATAATCACATTCATCCCTTCCTGCTTTTATTAAGAATTGGGATGCTTGAGTCCCCAGGGTGTTTCATTACTCCACAGTTATACTACAACACCTTAAAGAAAAATAAACTGTCCTCGGGTCAAAGATTCCATTCACACTTTTTGCCTTGACATTGTGGCCATTGTACCATTTCTGGGACAAGGAACAGCCATCAAGTTACCAGCAAAAGAACAGTGATTTAATTCATGTTGTGATTTCACCAATACCACCTTGTAAGTAAGCTTTAATAATGAGCCCTAATAAGCCTAGGATGTTAATGACAGTACCTAGTTTTAACCTATCAATATTACTCCTATTGCAAGATTACCTAGAAATCACACCACAAAGTTGGCTTACAGTGTTCCAGCAAATAGAATAACTAAATAACAATAAGCAGTTCCCTGTTGAAAATGGGTTGAAAAATTTGAAAAATAGACAAACAAAACTCCTTAAACAAAGAAATGAAACAAAAAGACCCATCCACCAAACTTGATATAGTTTAGGAAAAATTGTGAAATTACACCTTTCATTTACCTGAAACTGGGATAGTGCAGTGTGAAAAGGAAGATACTTTCTCCTAAGATGTTTCCAGTATATTTTGGAAAACTCCACAATCCCATTATCATTTATTCATATTACCAGTGAACATGTAAACACACAGGCCAAAGAAGTAAAGACTCTGGTTTAAAATGAAGCATACAAAATGCAAGAATGCAAGATTTACTTTCACAACATTTGGAAACCTTTTATTAGCTTTTTACCTTTCATCTCTCACCCTTCTAACACACTATTCCCTCCAGCAAGGCAGTATTTCCCACCAGTCAATTAAAAAGGCAAGTGACTTGAAGAAAGAGTGCCCCAGACACTGACAGATAAGAAGCACCACATCCAGCACAGTCTATCCAGCACAGCACCCTGCTAGGACAGACAAGGAGACACTCCTCTGAGGATTAGAAGAAAACATAGGAGCATGCATGGAGATAAGAAGATCCATCCTGCCTACAGCAATACCTACTTGTTAAAAATAAGATAAACAGATCTAGTCATCACTGAGTAACCAAAGAGAGGGACTGGACCTGAGTACCTTCTGTATTATAGGAAAAAATACATTAACCAGTCCATTCCATATTAAAAAAAACAAAAACTAAGTGAAGGTAAATGAAGGGAGTACAGAAAGTGCACCATTAAAAAATGCTTCATGGCAGCATCTACATTTGAAATTACTTTTGGGAATGACACCTCTGCTCCCAGTATCAATTAAGAATTCAATACTTCTAAATAAATATACATTTGGCATCTACTTCCATTCAGTTTTCAAATAGCTGTAATGCCAATTCCTTCAGTCTCCACCTCTGTTCCTCATCTCTAATATTTTAATTTCATACTAAATGTGCTTCCATAAATACTGTAGCAAACAGAAGATACAGTAGCTTTCAACTGAACAATTCTGCATAGCACCCTAACTACAGACGGGACACAGCTCATCTTCTGGTTTTCAGAAAATCAACACATTATAGATTGCAGTATTCTTTGATAATACCAGCTAAAGCTATTTCAAAACCATATATTTTTTGTAAAACTGTTTCTGAAACACATTCCACTATCTGTTCATTATTAGGAGCTTTATTAGGAAATTCCAATTATTAGAAAATACATTGTAAATATCACATCTGCTGGACACCAAGAAATACACTAGTAATAGTTTGGATAATATCTGAATTCAATTTCTTCATATTTCAGAAAGCATTTTTAGCAGGTAATTTTGACTTCTTTAGGGGAATGTGGAGCATTTTCATGGTTCAACCCCAGCTGGCAACTAAGTACCATGCAGCTGGTCACTCATTATTTCCCTGAGTGTGATGGGAAGAAGACTCAGAAAAAGAAATACAAAAATTAATGGTTTGAGGACTGTTAAGAACAGTTAAACAGTATGGAAAAAATCAGAGTGAAATATTAGAATAAAAAAAATACTTTTAATTACCAAAAAAATAAAAAACCCTAACAGCAGCAGATAAGTAAATCCAAGAAAAAGTGATGCACAATCCAATTGCTCACCACCCTCTGACTGATGCCCAGCCTGTTCCCAATAAGTAGTTGGCCAAGCTCCCTTCCTATCTCCCCTCCCTAGTTTTCATACTGAACACGACATCCTATGGTATGGGATATCCCTTTAGTCAGTGTAGGTCAGTTGTTCTGGCTGTGCTCCCTCCCAGCTTCTTGTGCAGCTCTTCATTCACAGAACATGAGACACTGGAAATCCTTGACTTAGGGTAAGTACTGCTTGGCAACACCAAAACATCAGCGTGTTATCAATGCTAGTCTCATGCCGAATCCAAACTAGAGCACTGTACCAACGGCTAAGAAGAAAATGAACTCTACCCCAGCTGAAATCAGGACAAGCATATAAAAACGCTACCAAGCAACTACAGGGGCAGCAGAGCTGTTCTCTGCATGTGTTCCAATACAGTTAGTTGGCTTTACTGACTTTTCTGACTCTCCAAAGCATTACAAATGGAGAAGCTTGCACACTTCTCATATTGCTGATGTGTGACCATTCATGTTTTCTCTGAAGAAGTGGATTCAAGCATGCCTCCAAATGCCTCCCAAGTCACTTCCCAGTTTCAGCTTCAAGAAACACCCAAAGCTAGATCATGCTTTCCACCTACCAGCCCAGACTTCTGCAGAAAGAAAACCTAGGAGCAGAGATCAAAAAGAAACCATGGTGTTACCTAAACAGAACACAAGTCCAGGTTATGTTGTGGCACACATTCAGGGACAGGTTAGCTACTGCCAATGACTCCTCTGTGGGTAAAGAGTTACTGGGCAGGCAACTAGGGGGAGAAATAAAGGATCTGTATTGCTCTAAACACGTACTTGCCAAAGAAAGAGTGTTACAAAATATAGCACCTCATGTAGAAACTGGATATCTTTCATATTTTCTTATGCAAATGATTTTATTAACAGAGCTCTACAGTTCAAGCACTCAAGATTTGTGTGTGGCATCACTTATGTCCTGCCAGTCCTGCTCAGGCTGCAGCTCAGGGACAGGATAGTGGGCAGGTAGATGGACCTGTCCTGATCCAGTCCTCAATCCAGTTCTGCTGCCTGGGCCTGCCTGACCAGAACTCCCATCACAGCCAGCAGGCTCCTACACAGAGATCACTGCAGGTATTAAGGTCACCAGTAACAGTACAAGATTTTAGAAATACTGTGTTAAAGGCGTGCATCTATCTGTCAGCCTTCCACGATATGGCTGAACCCTTCTCCATTTCCTCTCTATGCCTCAGCTAGTCTTTTTCACAATATATAAGCATTTTAAGTGTAATATTTCAGTGTTGGAAAAAACTCTCAGATAAAAAAAGAATTCTGTTACCAACCAGAAAATGAAAATATAGAATTTCAGTAACATAACACTATAGCAATAAAAAAAATAATGTATTAAGAAATTGAAAAATATTTACATTTTTGAAAAATCATAATTTCCACATACCTTACTTAAAAAGCAGTGTGAGAATTACAAGCCTTGCGGCTAAAGTGTTCTAAATAATTATGTTCAAAGCAGACTACCCCTTCATCTAGCACAAGCCAGCCTTATGCTAGGAAAATTAACAATACATTGAAAATTGTACATGTGCATTCTAGTCAAACACACAGAATGACCAGCTCATATCATCACTGACAGCCTATTGTCACCAAAGACATTTGGTTTTGGTTCTTAGAATATTTATGGCGGCCTTGAGAATGCAGAAATCTTTAAAACAAATATTATACAAAACTTGGATCAAGAACAAAAAAACAAAAAAAAAAAAAAAAAAAAAGAAAACATTCTGAAAGAATGACAAAGCACAGGGGAAAAGAACTATTGCGAAGCCAAGAGTTTCAAAACCAAACACCCACTCATAACTGGCACTGTTTAAGCTGTGGAGAACAAAAATTCCTGCCCAGAAATGATATGTCAGCTAATATTGAAATGTGAGTTGCAGGAAGAAAAGAGAAAAATGCTTACCTGTGAATAGAAAAAGAAGCAATAGACCTAATGAGGGATGCCACTGCTCCAACTTTAGCAGCTTCCACTGCTCCCTGTAACCTGTATTGCACAGTTTCACCATAACTGATGAAAGGTTCATTGTAGACGACAATCTTCCCCTTGGCCTCCTGAGCTCGTTTGTGCAGTTCATCAAATGAGGCCACAACTATGACTTCTGCTGTAATTCCTGAAAGAAAGTATTACAGGGGTTTTAGCAATGCTCTCCTATAGCTCTCCTACAGCCACTTCCAACAGACAGAAAAACATGGACTGTGCAGAACTCAGGAAATCAGCACTAGTTTTTTTCCTGAGGAAGGAAGATGATGTGAAATGCTCCATCAGAGACCAGTACTAAACAGATGTGACAGAACCCTGATAAAGTACACACACCTCTGTAAGCCATGCTATCAGGCTGGTATTAAAACAGAACTTGAAGGGTGAGAAGGATACATGGGGGGAATTTTGCTCTCTGCATAGGCTTTAATGCCTATTGTAATCATTTATAGTACAAAAACATTTGCAAAAGCTAGCTATGGGATTAATTTAAAAAAGATAGTAATCTTTTCATGGAAATGTTTTGATATGTTGCTAAACAACTTAGCTTAATATAAGACAGCTGGAAGCCCATATTTTTAGACTGTAACTCCTACAAAATGATTAACCCATAAATGAAATTAAATTAAATGCAATGTCAACAAATTTTGTGATGTGCTTAATAATAATAATAATAATATTAATTTCATATTTAGTCAGGAGAATACAACAGTTCTATTGGATCTCCTTCTGGGAGTTTTTCCAGGTAGGTTCTTATGCATTACTATTCACACATGTTAAGTTAGATCCCACCCAGATCTGTTTTTAACAGCTGGAATAGTTTTAAATTGCTGTATTATCTTACTTGAAAAAACAAAGAATGGTACAGATAAGCCAAAGAATCCTTCTAACTTTTAAGTGCATTAATTGAGGGACTATATTTCACAGCATTTGAGAAGTAACTCATCAAAATGACCACAATGCTGAAAATTCAATTTTGTTGATTGGTTACAGAGATAAGTGGAGACTGCTTAACAACATGGGCTGGTACTTTGCTTCTAAATACATAAGAAATAATGGATGTCTGAAATTTTAGTGTTGTACATTTCACCTAATAGTCACAAAATACAAAAATGGAAGCTGAAACTAATAACAAATCCGCTAGGAAGTATTTGTCAGAATAAAGTGAAATTATCATGTTTTTAAGAATAAAATTATTCTCTGTAAAAAAGTCCCTTTTTTCAGGTTGGTTGGTTGTTGTTTTTTTGTGCATGAAATGAGAATTATTTAGAGGATTTCAAAGACTTGTATTTAAAACCACAATGAATGAGAAAAACTCTCAGAAACACAGGAAGGTAATGTCTCTCAGCATAAGTGTGCCCAGGCTCATGGCTTCTTTAAGACGAAACTACACTTCAAAACCTTAAAGAAACTATTCCACAGAAGTTTGATTTCATTAGAATATACCACTATGAACAGAACAGACATTTACTGCTACAACAAAAGTGAGTTTTAGCTACAAAAATAACCTAGTGTGAGAGACATCAAAATTTTAACTATTCAGATTCTTACCTTAACCTGGCAATGTTTTAGAGAGGCAAACCAAAGAATCACCTTCACACATTACTATCTGCTGTTGGCAGGCAGGTGAGTATACTAGCAGACTCCAGCTGCTTGTAATTAATGGCAGGTTCAGCCACTTAGCTCAGGAACATCCCAGCAACAGGGTAATTTTGGCTATGGAACCATGCAACTGGAAATAAAGCCAGGTATCTGCAAAATTTCATTTTCCATGAGAGAAGTCGTGGTCTCAGTAGGCTGATGCTACTGCAATGTCTGTTTCATATTATCTCTCCCCAGTGCTCCACCTGGATCGTGCAGCAGACACTGGAGGGACACAGGTCCCTGTTTGTCAAGGGAAGCAAGGAGAATAACTCTTCTGGGCATTACTGCATACATGAACAAACACCAGCTCTGCAAAGCTTTTTAAGAAAGCTACAGACAGCTAGTATCTATAATTCCTAAGAAATATGATGGTGAAATAAATTTATGGCCCTTCCTAGATGACAGGCATCAGGAGTTTGTACAGTGAGAATTACTGGAAAATGTACTGGAAATTTGTTCTAAGGGAAAGAACACAGAGTTGCAAATTCCAGCTCAGTATCTCTACCCTCAAATGTCCTCAAAGAAGCTAAATAAAGCTCTCCTTTGATAAAATTTTAAAAAAAAAAAAAAAGTTCTCTCTGCCTCATTTACTTAATGGCAGTATGGTATACATAAAGCATGAATTACAGTGCTTTCCATAACAGTGGAAAGCTTCTGATTAATTCAATTACTCATTTGCATTTTAGTGCCATTTTATACCATTTCAGATTCTCTGACTGAAGTTACAAGAGCAATGTTTATCTTAAACAAATATGTCGATACACATGCACAAACCACCCTTAAACCTTCTGTGCAAAAGGAGAAATAAAACAAAACCCCCAACAGTTTACCCGTTTAAGGAGACTGAGTTATTCCCTTTAGAAACTGGAAATGTCTCACCTTACTGAGCCTTTAAACAAATTAATAGAAATCCACCCTAGGATCTCCTACCAATTCAGTGACTCATGGCTCTGCTTCCCATGTTGAAAGATACTGTCTCTTACACCATCATTACATTAGTGGCTGTGTGTTATTGAACAGAAATCTTCAGAAACCCCATCTAAGGAGGGAGACAGACTGCCTGCTTACTTAAGCAAGATATAAAGATTATAACACACACAGTCCAAGAGATGAATACAGAGTATATGGGTAATTAGCAAAGTAAAGGGCATGAATCATAGAAAGCAGAATTACAAACATGATAAACTTGGCTGAGTGTATAAAGCTGAAGACTATTTATTTGATCTCATCACATGAAACATATTGTTGGGTTGGGCAAATGAGCAAAAGAATCTAGGTAGTATATGGGTTTCCTCTCATTTCTCATATTAAACAGCAAATTGTACCCTATTCTTTCTGACAATCAAGGTATAGGAAGGGTGTTCATGGTGGGAACAAGCAGGAAATTTTCACCAACCAACAAATTTATATTTTACAAAGTCCTCTGTACACTGAAATGTGTGTTTCTATCTCAAAATTTGAATATGTCACAACTGTGATGATTGCACTGCCAGTTGAAATAAGTGGTGTGGTATCGGTCACAGGCAGGATGAACACAAGACTGATTATGTATATATAAACGTATATATACATATATATATTTTTAAATGTATATATAAAAATATATATATAGACACACACACACATATATATGAAAGCAGCCATAAATCAGCTGTGTGTAACACTGTTCTATAGAAGAATTCTGATTCCTGGCATGAACACTTCTGTCTGGAGAGTCGCCTCCTCACAGCTGTTTACCTGCCAGCAATGATGCAAGGAGTAGATTAGTTCAAAGGGGATTCCTCCCAAGATTAACTGCAGCTAATACTTTAGTCATTTTAGTACCTACAGACATGCATCTCTCTGTGTTAGTAACAGGTTTCAGTGGAGAGAAAGAAAAAAAAGGAAAATCCACCCTATTATCAGATTTTAAAAACTGGTGGATCTTTATTAAAACATCAATGAAATTTCATACAGAATGCATTTTTACTTATCATTATCCCAGAAACACTCTATTCACAAACACACAGAAATTCAACCAAGTTAGTTACAATCTATTACTATATTAAAAGGATTTAGTAAATCCAGAAAGAAATATTATTTGCATACTGTTTAATCTTACTGAATACAAATTTCCTCATTACTTAACTATGGCCTTACTCTGTTCTTTTTTCCCCCAGTTTCATTTTTGTCATCCAGGTAACAGAAACAGTACCTTGGAGATCCAGTTACAAAGCCAAATGCAGTCATCATTAATTTGGCAATAAATTCTTTTCAATAGCAGCAAGCAAACAACTCATTCCTATGGACCTCCTAAACTTCTTTTGCTTCACACTAAAGTAAGAATTATGATTTCTTCTACAAATCACAGTATGGAACAGTGATGCTACTGATCCAAATGCACTGAAGTTACCACTGTCAAATAAATAACCTGATGGGCAAGGCAATTTTTGCTTAAAACTACTAAAATACAGTCATTCTAAGCCTAAACAAGACAAAGCTGGAAAAGAGGTATCAACACAAAAAGTCAACATCACATCTAATTGTTCTGACAACCGTGGAAATTTTGAAACTGGAGGAGATGTATCTGAAACTGGAGGAGATGCATCCTGGCCTCGGTAGTCATGAGAGGAAGGAGACAGGATGTTACTTCCCTGTTCATCAGAACGAGGCATCAGGATATCAGGACAGGAAATCAAGACAGTTCTTCATGGCAGAGCAGGAGTAATAACACACCACAACCACGGTGCCTGGCACCCATGTGGTGATCGCAGCCCTGCCCCACAGACCAGCCACGTCAGGCCACCCTCACGCCTCACCTCCTGCAACATCCCAGATTTCTCCGTTCCTACTCCAGCTCTTCCACAAAGCTAATTTGGCCCAGAAGCTGCTTCATCAGGGCATACTGTATTCTGTGCTGACCCTGAACACATGCAAGCAGTAGCCCCAAGCTTTTCTTACCTTAGTCTGGCTATTCCCATTGTCCTTCAGACTTGATCATCTCTCCAGATTAAAAGTAACAAGCCCCTGCCTCTTTCAGACACAGCCCTCAAGCACTGTCTTGTGCCCATTTGCAAGGTAGCTTCTTCCACAGAGCCTAGAATTTTATTGCATGGGTAGGTATGTATGTCTGGAGATAAGGTAGTTGTTGGGACAGGCCAAAGCAGAGAAGGTCTTGGGGAGGGAAAATGCAAATATATGCTTCAAAGCTAAGTAAGATTAGCGACCTGGCATTAAATCCTTTTTTATGTTCAACATCCTCTAAAATCAGCTCAGAAAACATTTTCCTCCTCAACTTCTAGCATACCTCTCTTAAAAACATGTTTTCTAACACCCTCCAGGAATTTGTTCAGCTTTCCTGCAATGCTCCACAAACTTCAACTAGATTTTTAGAAAAACAGACTCAAATTCTTTATCTCTAATGACCTCATCCAATTAAGGCTTTGTGTCAGGCTGAAGCAAATGAAAGATTAATATCATCACTTTTTTTTTTCTCACTCAAAAATTATT